AATTGCCAAGAAGGGTTCACGGAACTCTTGGAGTGCATTCACTAGAAGCTCTTTCTGGCCTTCTGCTTCGTTGCATTCACATCTTACATTTCTACTCCATCCTATTCCATCGATCGATTTGTCTCCACTCTCCGAAATCGCGCGCTTTAACCAGACTCTCTCATTGCGTCGCCTGGTACGGCGAGGACAGATACAGTTATGGACCATCGAAGGACCAGGAGGCAGATACAGGCGTCGCCTGGTACGTAGCCGGCCAAACGCCGTCTTCTTTCCATGCCTCGCCTGGCTCTGCCTCCTGGTCCTTCGATGGTCCATAACGTGTAGTTTTTGTACGTTTGTTTCTCTTCAGAAACCGAATCTTCATGCGTGAAACTTTGTGTGCTATTTCCAGTGATCACAACTGACATATTCATGTTAGGAAAGAGTGCAAGAATTTTCCGCGCAAGATTCCTTTAAGCGGAGGCCCGCCCACAGAGGCGTGGCGTGCGTCGAAATGAACTGTACCGAAGACCAAGATTTCGATTTCAGTGACAAAACAACCTGGGCCAAAAAGTGGGTAAAGGTGTGCATTGGTAAGTCACATCGAATTAGGGAGACCCACCCCCGGTGGGCGGGGCGTTCTCCAAAAAAGCAGTGCTTTATGAAAAATTTCATAACTCGGTTGGGAGAAAGCCTACAGAGCAGAAAACAAATTGGTGTAGGGGAGCAATGTCTAAGGTGTTTCCAGCATACATGACGTGGGCGGAGGCCCGCCCACAATGGGCGGAGCGCGCTCTGAAGTGTACAGCATTTTCTACAAGTCCTCATAATTCGGGCCGGGGAAGTCTTAAAGAGCCGGAAAAAGGTGGATAGAGGTGTATGGAGGAGTGGAGGCCAGCTGTCAGCAATTCTTCATAGCGTTCCCTTAAGAAGTAAAATGCCAACACAACGAAAAAATTTCAGAAAACAAAAGTGGAAAGCAATCGAAAAACATGAAGTTGAATTATACTTGGGATGGTAAGAAAGTCCTGAGCCGATTTTTGAAAGCTCCAGAACTTTCGCTTATTGATCGATACCTAGAATCTGCTACGTGATAGATTATCGCTGTCGATCATACTTCTCCGCAGTAGGTATATTAGCCGGGTTGCCTTCTTTAACTTTAATCATGATGTCGATTCCACAAGAGCACTTTCGAGCGATCATCTTCAATGAATGGCGTTGCGGCACAGGAGCAGTGGAAACCGTACTTACTGTTCAACGGTGAGACCTAACGGCTGTTCAGTCTCAAGGAAGCCTTCCGTGTCATGCGCGGGATCGTGCAGAGCTACCTTTCATTTCTAACTTTGTTCAGGTATGAGGAATTGCCTCTAAAAACACATTAAAGGCAAACTCCGGGATAAAACGAGGGACTCACCTGTTCGAGTATGAAGAGCTGGGTGCTAAGTTGATCGAAGGTAATGAAAAAAGCAGGAAATACCTCCAAAGAACTACAAAATTAGAAATTCCTCTTCGTTAGTCGCTTACGAACCAGGGCTGGGAAAATTACGTGTTTGGACATGTCTACAGCAACTGTTGGCTTTGTGCCATCAACCGACACGGCCACAAAAAGTCAGCAATGAAAACTGATTTTTCTAGTTTCCCTATTTTTTCTATTTTCCTGTGCTTTTTTTGTTTGCTTCCTATCTTAAAATTTTTTCTTCTCACTAGATGATGACAACGTTCTCCAAAATGGTCGTAACATAGGCTTTGATGTGATTTTCGCAATTGAAATCCGCTAAATATTCCCCTACGACTTTCCAAACAACGGCTTAACATCTAGCGTTCCAGGTGGTTGTTTGGAAGATCACGTAGGACGGTGGGCGGGCTCAATGGGGTTGGGGCGGCGCCAATGCTCCAACCTAGGCTCCTAGCGCCTAAACCTTATCAAAACGCCCCGCCACTTCTGCACATGGTCTGCCCTTGCGTACTGCTGCATATTTGACGGGGAAAACCTAAATTTCGCCAGAAATCCCGGAATTTGCCTTTAAGAGAGTCAAATCGAATTTCATAAGCAATAGCAGTAAGCATAAAAGTGTGGCACTGCATTCATTTTTAGTCAGCTGACAATGAAGAGAGTTTATATGTTTTGATATGCTGCGGAAATCATGGTTTCTGCAACTAGAGCTTCCGAATTCGCGTCCCCGCTGGTTTTCATCGATGAAGATATAAAATCGACACAGGGTTATGCCTGGAAAGTGTCTGTAAGATTATGCAGCTTCCCCACGGAGAGTAGTAGAAGTTAAGATTTAGACCGCTCGTGTTAAGTGGATCCGAGGCGCAGATCAAAGCGCAGCAGCGGTGCATAGCAATACTCCAAGGCTTCGTCAGGCGCAAGGATGACTGTTGTATAGTTGATTTTGAATGAATTGATTTCGACTTGTTTTTGTTTGTTAACTGCTGTTTTTGGCCGCAGTTCGCCTTGCGAATGTTTCACAAGAATGCTGGGTTGTGAACAAAACTTTCGCCCAGGCGGGACTCGAACCCGCACCTCTTGCTTACCGGGCAAGTGCGCTACACTGAAATGTTCGCTCTCAACAGCAAATCAAAACACTGAGGAGAAGCCTGGTCAGAGTTCGAGAAGATATCCTTCTGAAGTATTTTAGCACGGCGGTGAATGACTTCTGCTCGCGTCCAAAGGTCTGTATTCAAGCCCAAGGTAGCATTGCGAAATGATGAACCTGTGTTTGCAATGGCGTCATTGGCAAAGGCCTTAGAAATCACTCTCAATCCGTTGCATCGCCAGTTTACAAAGATGGGTAATTTTCGTACCCTGCATACGGTAGCTGGCGTGCAGTGCGTGCTTCTCCATAAGGAATATATTGCAAAATGCCGTATCTTCCTTTTAGGCAAACTGTGGAGCGCTCGACTCTTATCTCCAAAAAGCAGAACAACCAATGGACAAGAAGAACGAAATGTGCCTGCAGGTGAATTCTTTGTATTTTCCCGCTATGGAAAGCTATTTAACAATCTTATTGAGGCGGCATGGGGACTGGAATATTTGCATGCAAAAAACGTCCTCCACAGGAGATATTGCGGCTAGAAACTGTTTGTATGGCGACAATAAGGCAAGTGTATGAAGTTTTGTAGGATTTTATGTTGTGATGAACACTGTGCCGCTGTCAACCTTGAAACTTCTTTTAACAGGGTATCGTAGCGAAATTGTAAAGTATATGACAAAGATCTCCAGCAGTTTTCAGGTGAAAATCTCTGATTTTGGTCTAACTCGTGAAGGTACAGTATATCAAATGGATCCCCACAAAAGGGTTCCTATCAGATGGCTTGCTCCTGAAACACTAAAGATGGCTATTTACACACAGAAGACTGATGTATTCAGTTTCGGTAACACTCTCCCTGATTACTCAGAAAATTTTGGTTTGGATTATAGTTTTTGGTTAGTTTTGGTTTTATTTTGGTTATAGTCGTATTTTTGTTAAGGTATTATGTGCTGGGAGATATACAACAATGGAATAGAACCGTACCCTGGAATGACTGTAGCTGAAGTTAACCAGAATGTAAGGACTTTACACTTTCAGGGAGATTAAATTTTGTAACTCGAAAAACTTTGTCAGCTAGTAAGGGTGAGGAATGACTGAGTTGCATTTTAGGTGAAAGAAGGCTACCGTATGGAGCTGCCACCTAATGTGCATCCTGATATCCAAGTTTATGTGAAGGTTGCAATCATGGTTTTTCTCTTCGTTCATTTGAACGGGTAAAAAATGACATAGCCACTAATGAATACCGAAAAAGTCGGGCTCCAAGATGCGAGGCTGGTATCATACAATGCAAATCGAGTGATTCGCTAGTAGCAAATAGCTCGATTTGCTAGTACACGCACAAGAAAGCAGCCTACTACGAAATTTGAGGTGCGACGAGCGCGAGTTAGGTTTGATCACACCAGGCAATTAACTGTGATCCTTTGAGTTCAAAGGTCTACGCTCGCACGAGCTATACACATGTTCACATGTTAGCTATAGACGTGTTCACGTACGAGGACCATAGTAGGAGGTCATATTCGACGTTCGCGGATGAGCGGGAGGGCTTGCCCCACAATAGTGCTAGATCTTTTGTCATAAATTCACCATTGGTTCTAAAAATACGCCCTTCTCACTCCATCGAAAAATCCGCAACGTTGGCTCACTTCAGAGAAGGGGGTCTTACAAGGGAATGCTTTCGAACTCCCCGTGAAATTTGAAAGGCTGAATGTGAACTATCTAAGAAAGTTATGAGCCTTCAAAATTGGCAGGAAACGGGCGCCATTTCATGAGAACAGCTAACCACTGGCGAGCGTGGTAGCGGCGGCGCAGTGGTAGAGCTCTCGCTCTGCAGGCGGTTGGTCGTGGGTTTGCTCCCGACCGAGAGCGGAAATTTTTGCACATTGTTTTTCGTACCTAGCAAGGGCTGTTATTCCAATTTTTTCATTCATTCAAACAGGCGCCTTATGTGAGCGGGTAGTCCAAATGTTTGACGCGTTAGTGCACTGTTTTGTCAATGGCTGTGTAGAGGCAGCATCAATAAGATGCGCGATTTGCAAACAATTCGTCTGCATTTCCTAA